AGTTGGCAAAATGCCGTGTTTATTGCAAACAAAGGGGTTCACAAAGACTGCAAAAAAATTCTTAATGAGCTTGTAGAACAGTAAAATTCAAAACAGCAGGTGCAGTAAAGGAATTTCACTTATGGAGCAGTTTAAGCACTAAAATTGCCATTTTGTGACTAACTTGGCATTTAGCGTGATGCTTTTTTGTTGAGATGATGCAGCGAAAGTGTGACAATTGGCCTCCCCTGTCACTGAGTTGCAAATAGGTAGGGACGAAAAATCTTACGGATTTGAAGAGTCAACACAGCCATCGGGGGTAGCAAAGCCATTGAATTGCCCGAAGTATTTGCGCTGGCTTTCATTTAGACTCCAGCTTAAGACGAGGAGCCACGTCAAGGCACTGCGTGGTGAGCCACATAAGTCACTTTTAGTGGAATGCAACGCATTGGCACTGACCTCGATTAATCGTGATTCAAAGTTTAATCATCATTGATGGACTATCAACGGAAAGAGTCAAGTGCGTGCTGACCAATGCCCTTTTGGATGCCAGGGTGCAAATTTCAACCAAGCAAAAGTCCACATTCAGATGTCACATTTGCTATCAGAAGAAAGAGTTACACTTTGCAATAGAGTCCCAAAAATGTGGCTGTAGATTGCTAAAACTTCATAGCATATGTTAGAAGACATAGCAGACAATAAAACACGAGTAGTGGGACAGAAAGGAGTGAAATGGGCTCCCGGCTTGGCCCAAAGGCCAGCCCAGACAGCTGAAAACAGACGGCCAATAAAGTGACGGCCACATCGAACAAACAAAGTTTTGCAATGGTTAATCACTGAAATCATCACTTAATTGATTTGCATGCTCCCCTTCAATTCTTCGTCCAAGTCTGTTAAAAATCTTGTCGAAAAGTACTTCATCAAACCCAAAGGCAGTCGTTTCTCCTGAATCGGGGTAATGCTGCTTCAACATGAAAAAGTGTCATCTTTTAACGGCCTCGAGGTGTCGCCTTAAGGAGCCCGATGAGACTCGCTTTCATGCTCCTTAGCTTTTTAGCTGTAAGTAGCAAAATAAACTGTTGGGGAAATGTATTTTGCCTAACATATTTTCGCGCAGGAAGCACCTATTTTTTCAGTTGTTACGCTGTTTAGTGAAGTTCACTTGGAGTTTTACAGTCGACTCGAGGACGGTTGGCTCTCGCAGCTTAACACTGCTTTGGCCTATCCTGCTGGTACACTTCACTTTTCATGCAGTTAAAAGTGGTAAAAAAGTTAATTTAGCAAGGCAGTCAGTTGCAACAACCGGAGACACATTTTATCTGCCAACTTTTGTGTGATAGTTAAAGGAAAGATGTGAAAAAGGTGAGTTTTGGCCCATTTTTTCACAGACAGCAACATAATGATGCGCAGAGGAAGGCAGAACTAAAGAACGGCAGACACAGAAAGTCGCTGATGAATTGTTGAGTAAAATGCACTTTTAAAGAAGTATAGCTCATGCCTTCTCTTTAAAATGGGAGGTAACATGTGGCTTTCGTGCAAAAAATGGACTTTCCAGGCTTTGGATAGGTGAAGCGTTGTAACAAATCCCCATTGTCGCACCGAAATTGGGGCTTAATTGTACCAAAATAACATAATTTGGTGGTGATGAGTGCGCTCTCAAAATGCGACACCCTTGGGAAAAGCACGGGCACAGGCCTAGGAATGGGGAAAAGCGAGCCCAAGGACAACACATCTCAAGTGGAAAGCATAAATTGTTTGTTTACAAAACCCCTTTTTCGACTTGGACTGGTAACCAGGAGCACAATTTTACTCCGGATTTGGTGAAGCTACTTGAACCGTATTTTATGGCTGCGAATATCATCTGGTGCCTCCCGTTAATTTTAATTTAACATTTTGAGTTACGCGTAAATTAGGTCCGAGTTTGTTGTTACGCCTGTCTTTTGACCTAGTCAATCGTTCAGTCCTGTAATGAGTCAAAATTTTATTTATTTGTAAAATGCCAGTTGCAGGCCTAAGGTCAGTCTATTAGCGTTTTGATACAGCAAAGGCTGTTTGGTCAGTGGCGACATTCGCTGCTATGGCAGCCGGCACCAACCGATCGAAACTTCAACCCTTTTGAGGTCATATAAATTTAACATAACATCAGCCCGACTTTACCGACGTGCTACATTAAAACAGTCAACAGTAACGTTTGATGCGGTGAAAGAGTGTTACATCAAACAGTAATGATGGTGTTTTATCGGAATACCTTTCCGCACACCCCACAATAGTTACTTTTGTAGCTGATAGATTATCTAAACTTCGTTCCTGTTCACCAAAGCTTGAATGCGCCATTCCTTTTGAAAGGCGTAAATGTGCATCACATTCGTTTTAGAAAAGTTAATTGGCACCTCCTAAAATCTGGTTATAATACTGGAAATAATTAGCTGGAAAAACTTTAACTCCCACAAACTAGGAGATCCCGCTTAACCATATTGGATTGACTAGAAGCAAATATTGGGTACCCTCGAGGATACCGCTGCTCCCTGATTGCCACATTTAATATGTGGAATGAAATTGCAAACCTGATTAATGAAACGGGAGTTAAGGCAGTCACCATCTGTGCACATTGAGTCCTTTAAATTATGTTCCACTAAAGCGATTCCCTCAAATAACAGTCAGATGTGTATAAATAAAAAAAAAATTAAGATTATGATGATAAGAAAAATCACACCTGTCAACTGGCGGCTTCACGCAACTCGTAGGTCGACCGACAAGTGTCCCTAGGGCTGCATCACACGGCTTGGGCACTGACCCGCACCACCACCAATGATGCCTTTGCGGATGCTGCCGGTGCTGCCTAATCGATGATTAATGCAGGTTCCCTTCTTTCCCAAGGCTGCTTCCTCTTTCCTAGCATCATCACCTCCACCTCCGCCATCATCTACACTGCCATCATGTACGCACGCGTGTGGTCGAATCAGATGCACCTGTTGCGTGCGCCTCCGCGCGCAAACCTGAGCTTCTGATTGGCTCTGAACGTGGTCAATGAGGTTGGTTAGGTCTGGTCTTACTTCATAAATACACGTGAATCGTGCTCGGTGCAGTGTAGGTTATTTTGTTTTTTGGAATTTTCCTGTAATTTTTTCAATATTACTGAATCGCTGTCGCTCCTCACGTCCTATGCCCTGAGTGTTTGAGGTTTTGGATTTTAAAGAGCATGATGTCAGGAGAGGTCTTTTTAATTTGGTCTCTAAATTCGTTCGGTCTTTAGAGGAGTTATTTTTATGCATTTGATAAAAGGCATACAAAGTCGTGTTATATGTGTGAAAAGTAAAGCTCTCCTAGTTGATAAGGTAACTTCATTTCCGTGTATCTTGGGAAACTGGAAAATCGGTGGAGCCTTGGTTGCACTTCTTAATACATCTACCCTCGAAAAAATGTAGTTTTATGTGACCCCTTTGTCAGATACCCACTGGTCTCCTTAAGTTTTGCAGAGACATATTTATTGAACGCTTTCCTTAAACAATCTCGGCCTATGTTGAGCCCTCGAAAAGAGTCCTTCATTTATACCAAAATCAACCTTAGTCTGCATGTTTAAGACTCCCCTTTAACTATTATCTTATGCTCGCAGTCTGAGGTCCTTCTAGTTTAGATGGTGGGGCATGTATGCCGACTGAGCAGTTATAATACATGGATGCACTGCTGTTAGAGGAATTTTCGAAGCCAAGCCCAATGCCATCTGACAGTGACCAGCCACAGCGAGAGCTTTGCCTAACACAGCTCACTTGAGGACAATCTTGTGTTTTGACCATGACTTTGGTTGGATTTTTGCCTTAAAATAATCGTCAGCTAGGGATAGCTTGATTCTTTCGCACAACATCGCCAAAGCCATCGTTTAGTAATGTTTTAGGCAAAAAGTAAGATCTATTTTGGGTAAAGATAATCGCACATGTCTATAGCATTCTCGGTTAGCATAAACATTCGCTTTATAAGATGGCTCAGGACATCGGCAAATAAGGTTGTTACCTTGGTCATTGAAATCTGGTAGAGGGTCAGCAAGTGGGTTTCGATTTCAGTGGAACTGCTAGTAACAGAGGTGTCTATCAAAGTCTCTTTACAACGCAGTTATGTACGTCCTTCGGACAGCGGAATGAGACTCTTCGAGCCACTGAAATGCAAGCCTTTGGGGAGCAAGAAAGGCCAACCGTAGAATGTTGTCCAACCGCAGTGATGGAAATTCAACCAACCAGTGGATGAGGAGGAGGCTTCAGCTACAAGTGGCTCTGTTTAGTGGGCGAATAAATTTTCTCACCCTTTATTACGTCGTTGATGCTGATGTTAGTTGACGCACGAGTAGATTGGCATGGAAGACCACTTAAAATAGTCGCACAAGCCCACCATTCATCTTGAAGGTGTAGCCGTTATCACACCGTTCCGAAGTCCACTACCCCATTTGCATTTCCTCATCCATACCGGTGTTTAGAACTGCGCACTGAAATAATTGTGCAAAACATTTCTGGTTGCCTAAGTTGACGTTTAAACTGGTTTTGACGTTGCTAACCCAATTACCGCATTCCTGAGAGGTGATTTATTTTAAATGTGATGACTGGAGTTTACTGAATCTGAAGAGAATTTGGCTACGCTGCGCTTCATTGACGGTATCAGGTAAGCTATATGACAACGCCTTTCCCCAAGTTCTTCACGGTAGTAGCAGATCGAAGTGCTCCAACAAAGCATTATACATCCAAACCACTAACCAACTTAATGATGGTATACGAACCGAGAAAACTCTGACAATATTTAAATCTAAACATATTTTGCGTTTTAAAATGCACACTTTAATCCATTACTTTCATTGGTAATTTTGTGCGAAACTTGGAGCTCTTAAAGGGATTTTGTTCTCTCCAGCTATCTGAGGGGTTCGATGCTTGATGCCTCGTAACAGCTCCAGCATTTTGCACGACATTTTCACGACCTTACAAGTATTTTAACTCATTGGTGCTGACTTCTCTGACCAAAGTTCGCTTTTAGCCAACAAAATGCCATCAATAGAGACGGTGGACATCTATGATCTTCTCTTTGACTACGCTCGAAAGTTCCCGTTCAATGAGAAGGTGAAAAAGCGCATTGATTTTGATAAACTGGACGCCTCTTGCGTAGTGGAGGCAAAACTCCGAATTCGCAATCTCGCCTCACACCACGAAGAGAATGCCTGTCCCACCTCTACCGCCATGAGCGCCCGTCCTCGCACCTGCATCATCTTCTCATCTACCTTTGACAATTCCACCTCGTCCGAACAGACACATAGCCTGCGAGCTGAGAAGCGTACCACTGCAACGTGTCGTCTGCAGCTCACAAAAACAGTTACGCGTAATGGGAACATTAGTCTGCAGATCTCTCCGCCCAACACCATGATCCAAGCCAATGGAGGTTTCTCAAGGGAGAAGACCATCACGTCTGAAAAGGAGGAGGTGATGGAGGAGGAGCTTTGCTGGTCTCTTGACACCCAGGTTAGTCAGACGCTGGGTTTTTTGACATTCTGATCAACCGTTACTAAAGTGATTGACTGGAAGAGAACCTAGGAATCGAGAAGAGTTAGGCGAACTTGTAGTATGCATACAACATCGCATGAGGAGATAGCTATACCCATCGTGGCACACTACAATCTGAGGTTGTTTAGGTACTTTCCATTACCGGTAAAAGGTTTGCTCATTTGCATCCATTAGCGCCAAGTGCCGTCCCACTAATAAACGCTCACTTCGTTCTAAAGGGTGGCAAAAGGCTTTTTATAGTGCAGCATTAATGTAGCCAATGGAGTGAGTGTTTGAAAGCCTTTGACATGCAAACTTAATCTTTTTATATACACAAACTGAATTATATTGTCCTTGAAGGGAGAAGTTTCCTTTTCCTTTCCAAAATGTTGTTATGCTTCCAGACAGTGCTACTGAAATGCTGCTGACACTTTGTATTCAAAGATCTTGATGATCTAAATGATGGCTGTAGGTGACTTTTGACTCAAATTGTGTCAAAATTAGTCAAGTATAATCATGTTTTATTTAAAAAAATGTGCAATCGAACTTTTGTTAGGAGTAAAATTAAGGCCTTTGTTTTCATACCGACTGAACAGCCGCCCGACAACCAATTTTTAGAGGTTAAAGCCGCTGCTACTCGGAAGACGGAGGAATTCACTGCTTACAGCTACACCGCATTGCGAGAGCCTCCTTTCCAACACATCATTGTGCACAAGTTGGACTGCAGTTGTTGTTAAGCATTTTTTATGCATTCAAGCAATTAATTGGGTGGACATCCGTGCAGCCAGATAAGATTCCCTTAGTCACTTCCGTGCAGAGCATCTCACATTTGCCAGCTTGCAGCTCAACCCTTGGGATTGGTGTGCCATATTTAAATTAATGCTAACCGTCTAATTTTGTGGAATGTACGCCCCCCAACTTCTTGGCGCGTTCCCATTGGGTTGTGAGGTTGTTTGCCCCATTCCTCGACTCAAACCCTTGCAAATACCTCTGCGTGACTCCTAATCGTTTTGGATTACTCAAAATATTTTGTGCCAGCACTGAGCGGATAAATTAGTCAAAACTTTTTTTAAATATGGAGTTGAATGCTTGCTTAAGGAAGTTGTCATATCGTTGACGGGTGTTCCACCTGTTGCCACCAATATGGTGGATGAAGTTTGGTAAAAAATTGCCCAACAAAGCCAATTTGCTAGCTTTTCGTTAACAACTTTACGGATGCTCCCGAAAGTTGTCTTTTGCTGATCTCTGTTTACCATGTTTACAAAAGTTTTGGTACCTTAAAGATTTTAGGAGGCGGGGGAGGAAGAGGGCGTCCGGATGATGCATTATTATTCAGTGAATTTTTAATTTACGCATCCCTCGTGAAATGTGTGAGCATTCTGATTCACTCCAAATTCTCCACCTACACTCACTAAAACTATTATCTCCTGCTTGTTTGACTCTGGATTGAAGGTGGAAATTTCTGAAAATGCAAACACAATCGGACTGTTCAGAGTACATTCAGTCTGAAAGAAGTTGACATAAGCTATCTCTGCAATAACCACCTCTTCTAATCTCATATCTGCAGAATGATGCTTCTCTTTCACACTAAAACAAGGTGTTTTGGCTGTCCACTGACTGAATTTCACCCTTTTGGCAATCGTTGTGGCCTCCTGCCTCTGCGACTGGAGCTGCAGCAGTAAATCCGTGCCATGGCCAATTTGCATTTTCGTAGTGTCACGGTAACGACCTCCCTCATTAGGAATTCACACCGAATGGCGTGGAAGTCTCTTAAGTCAGGCCTTAATTAAAGGATTAGAAGCATTGTTTATGATGTCAAGACTTCCCTTACCTCTGCAGCATTAGTTATTGCAAGGACTCAGCACCACCTTGAAGCCATCTTTCCGCCTTTTTTAAGTAATAAAGACAGGATTAAAAAGGTTCAACTGCAAATTAACTGGCAGTGGAGTTGGCTTTTGCGCACAATAAGGACACCAATGCGGTCAATTGCGCGTGGTAGTTGATTAGAGGGATACGAATTTTACAGAGTTCCGAAACATATGTTAGAAGCGCACCGATAATTATGACTTGTACCACATGCATGCCTAAATATTCCCATTCCTACGCATCAGTTTGACCAAATCTTTGTTCCCTCCGCCTTAGCTCAAAGGGCTCAGAAAGCATTCCTTGACATTTGGCACAGAATGTCGAATTAAGACACTAGGACGTCATGCCTTTTGCCAAAACTAAACTAAGTAGAAACGCACTCAAAGGGACGATAGTACGTGAGAATTAGTGTTGTCCATTCTCTAGTTATTTACAAGTATTTGTCTCTTTTATTTTGCTTAAAACGTCCATAATTTAACTGCTTAGATTTGGTTACCATATGCATTAGCCCTACCACTTGTCTGATCATCTCTGAGGCATTTAGGCACTTACATATTTGCCTCTCATGAAATAAGTAAAGAGTCATCGCTTCTCATAATCAGCTCGACCATTTCCACGGCATATGGTAGACTGCAGCATCTGCCATCATATACGCCTCTAAAGCATTGTTACACACTGACTGTGTGTTCAGCACGGTAGTGACTTCAACATCCCCTTGTTGCCTAAGTCTCGTTGCTTTGAAATTGGTATTATCGACAATGAACTTACGTCTTGCCCCAACTTTATTCATGATTTCCACAACTCCATAATTTACAATCGGAAATGCTCGATCTAATTACAGCACTCAACTCAAGATCCAAGTGACGAAGAGTCATGAGTCAAAATTTATGTTAGACCTCAAAGACATTCTCATCACTCATTCCATTTACGCCCAAAGTATCTGCATTACGAGGCGTGGAATTGAGTGCTCATGGTTAAAATTGGCAGAGGACAGTAGTTGGAAAGGATTGGTCGAAATAACAATGTGCGTTGGCTAGAAAGATTCCTGTCATGGCAACGTGAATTTGAGGGAAACCAGCTCCGCTCGTTTATGTGATTGGCGCGTTCACTAATCGAGCCTCGCATTTCATTGGCTCTCCGTCAGAACGACCCGTTTTAACGCAGTGACGCGAACCTGGTACTTGCCCAGTTTTACAAAGTGTCTAATGAAATGTGATCGGAGAGGACTTCATGAAATGCTTTATATCTACGATCTGGTACTTTTTTACAGCTAAATATGAGTTCGGCAAATAATTGTTACATTCATGCTTGACAAAAATGAAGCGATTGCAGCTCTCTTATCCTTAAAGTATTGTTGCCAAAAAATTTGTCCTTGTCAGCAATAATAACCACGGTATTAGTGCAAAGCTACACAATTGATGCGCCCTAATGAGGGGTTTGGATGCAATGATTTAGCTGCCTAGACACTTTGAAATGTTCGCACCCGCAAGGTGACTTTAAAACCGATCATGAAACCTATTTGCGAACGTTGAGCTTATCATGCTTTTGGAATCTCAGATCCAAACAACAAAAGTCCAGAGAATGGAAGGACAAAATTGCAGGCTACTATGTCAGTTTTTTTAGCAGAACAGATTGTATTTTTGTGACAATTGCGGAGTAGCTATCTATGCTGTCATCTTTTTCGCAAACTGAAAGCCTAATGGATTCATCCGTGCATTCACAGCAGGTACACAGTCCCGTAAAACATTGATAAGATCTCTTTTTTGGGAATAGTTGCTGCCATTAGCGAAAATCTCGTGTGCGACTCCAGTCACTACAAAATGGCTTTTTACGCCAAAGGTAAAAACGCTTATGGGTCAGCGCTTTCAGCTGAATAAGCGTTGCTGACGAAGTGGGTCGAACATCGGACTCTAACACAATAACACCAATGCCATTTGTTGTCTCACCTTCGGGTTATTTGACGCCAACCGCTGTCCAAAGTTCATTTCGAAGTGGCTGTGCTGCGCTATCTTGGGTCAAGCTAGGCATTTTACGAAACATTTATGTTTTGATAAACATCTTGTTACATGTCTTTTAAAAGGCTTCTTATTCTGCGAACATTGCTAAATGATAGACATACAACTGTAGCTCTAGGTAACATGGCTTTTAGAATGCGTTAGTAGTAAAATTGAGTAAAATTGGAAAGTGAGGTACTATTAAGTTCATTTGCACTGTCGTAAGGTTAATTCCGTCTGAGCAATGCATCTGTCAGGGCCTAGTTATATGTCCGTGATTATTCTTACATGTTTAAACAAAGAGTCATGCGCCTTGTAATTGTCAGTTCGAATTCATCTTGTACCCGAGGTTTCATTAGTTATGTTGTCCAAACTGATATCACTGCACATGCTGCAAAATAAGCGTTTCCCAATGTAGAGAATGAGCTTTAAGTTTCAAATATTGTTTACTCAAACCAATTCAAACAGGTTTTTCTAAAGTAGGTTTAGTTTAAAAAATCTCAGGTCTGGAGACAATTTTGCACGACTAAAAATAGTTCCTACTGATATGCAATTAAATAGAGTGTTTTAAACCCATTTTAAAGGTTGTAATTCAACCCGGTCATCGGACGAAAGCTGATTTTGTTATCACTGAGGGAAGTTACAGTGGTACGTTCAAGGTCGATACAGTGTTCGAGGGCAAGATATCTGTAATTCTTCGGAACAAACGTAAACAACCGGTCACAATGCTCAACATTGACGATATGAGAGTTTTCCTGAAGCCGGAGATGGGCTTCAGACCTGTGCCAAACGGGAAGCCGGGATCGGTGGTGTTCACAAATGAGGGAATTTGCAACTGCAGCTACGGCATCGAACAGCACGTAGAATTACGGGAAGAGAAGCTCTAAATTTGACGAGTATCAAATTAATTTCTTAATTTTCAAAGTTTTGGTGCAATAAAAGGGCCTATTGTTGTGTTTGTGCTCCCCACTAAATCCAATAATAACAAATTGGTAAAGGAAGTGGATCTTTTTGTATTATTGTACACATAAAAATACATAATTCATGAAGCAACTAACTTAGCGTTTTGATCGTAAATAAGATTTGCTGTTTATGATTCTACTCAAGTGTCAGTCATACTAAGTCAGAAAAGACGTATTAGCTTTCATCTAGTCAACAGAACTTGGTAACCCACGAATGTTCCCATTGTTATTACCACTAATAGCATTTATTATGGTAGGGTTTCGTAAGCTGTAGATGTATTAGCTGCGTGAATGACTTTGCAACATCCCGATGCCTTCCATTAGGTACCAGAAAGGCTGAAATCTTGTATTCAAAGAGAAAGGAAAAGAGATTGGGCTTTAACGTGGCCTGATTGCATGCCCATGCAGGAAGGAGTGCGACAAAAAATAAAGCTACCGCAAGTCATATAGGTATTCAAATAAGCAAGATGTTGCGGCTTTGCTCTACACAATATTTCATTTCTCCATGTGGCACAAAATTTAGCTCAACTGATAACTTTCCTTCTTTTCAGCATCATATTTGTATGTGCCATGTCTTGCTCCTGGTGTTCTGGGTGTCGAGGAGGCTGCATATGTTTAAACAGGCTAGTACAATGCTAATATGGCGAAATTACATCAAGCTTAACTGATAGAGAAAGGTAATTACAATGCTTTGGTTATGTGGCCACCTGATGCCTGGTAGTTGCGTGGCCTTCGGGCCATGCTAGGACTCAATCCCTTCTACCCTCTTAAAATGTATGCGTTCAGCTCAGCCTAATGCCTTCTTCTCGGTAGTAGGAAGTCTCAGAGGGCTACACTAGCAACAACGGTAAGCAAGCCTGACATTTTTTACTACTTCTATTCCACCACCCAATATCTGTGACGTATATCAACGGTGCAGAGGAGCTGCATATGCTGGAGTTAGAAGATACTCTAAACCCTTCATAGCAGAAGGGTTGAAAATGATTTTTTTTTTGCGTTTAGCTTCATTTTATCTCCTTGTTCCACCGATAAGATAGCTACAACTTAAGCGACACTGCCGTAAACAATCTGGAAACGTTTCATATTGGAGATCTTTACTAAATACTCGGATAGATGGTATTGTAGCGCCCCGAGACTCCCCATCGAGTGGAAGAAGGCAGTAAGTTGGATAAATGTATTGGTTGGATAAATGTATTCCGAAGAGGACAGAGCAAATGAGCCTGAGCATGGTCTGGAGACCAGCCCACGTGTACGAGGGCCAGACAAATCCTAAAGCGACCACGTAACGTCAGGTAGTCACATGACTAAAGCATCACAGGTATAGATGATGCCACGGCAAATCCTTTTGCATATGAAGCTGTTTGAGTCCGATTTCCGTGTTGAACATCTGCTTTAAACCAGTGTTCCGACGTCTAGTCGTAAACACAATCTACAACCAACAAAAATGTCACACGAATTCTTACTCTCAAAACTATAAGCAACTCCAGCTTCAATTGAAGCTGCTGAGAAGGCCAAGCACACTACAATAGCGTCACGACAACTGATGACTGGTGCGCATGGCTCGTGGGTGGATACTTGCAGCACTGGATATATTGTAGGGGCTGGTGTGGAAGGTGCGCAGATAGTAGCCAGAGATCGATGCTCTAAAAATAGAAGGTAGCAGTGCAATACTTTATTTATGTGATCACCTGATGTCTGGCTGTGACTTAGTTACTCGTCGTACCCATATACTCGTGGGCTGGCCTTCGAATGAGGTAAATGTTTAGTTCCACCTTATCCTCCTGAAATGCATGTGAACAGACCATCTTAGTCCTTTCTTTTACATAATGGAGTGTCGGAAGTCTACGATGATTGTACGAGACGCCTACAGTGCTTACAATTAATAGAGACAGCTTCAAGATCACAATTAAGAGCTTTAGACCATTGATCAACTAAGTATCCAGCCTAATGACATGATTTTGAATAAAAGCCAATATGCAACTTAAAGAAAGATTAGCTGGCTCATACATTTGAGCCTATAAAGTCGTCTTCTCGAACAGTACATTATGGGGTCACAGCACGTTGTACTGCACAATGGCATTTTTACTAATCAAATGTGATACTTGGGAGGTTATCGACTTTTACTCTTGCCTTTGTTTTACTAACTTCACGCCTTTAAGAGCCAATCGTCTCTTTACTTTCGTGTCGTGGGTATATTCCCTACTCGTTGATCACTTCCCACTTTTTTAGTTTTGTGCACGCGTAATGGTCTCTAACGGTGATGTTTGTGCTGAAGGTCCATCCTTGCCAAAGATGGATTTTATGGCTCTGTCAAATCTTGCTGAACAATTCGTTCTTCAATATTATACTGTTATGAACAAGTGCCCAGAACTTCTTCACAGATTTTACGGTGAGGACTCTACTTTAATCTATGAGAGTCCACCTATATGCGGGCAAACGGAGATACATAATGCTTTCTTAAAACTGAAACTGAGGGATACCCATGTTACAATATTGAGGGTAGATGCCTTGAAGGCCTGCAACAACTCGGCCCTTATTCAGGTACTAAGTATGTAGATTGTCGTGAATTTCATTAAGATATCCGGCGAACTTAGTGTCTCAAATGGGCCATTTCGTCGTTTTTTGCGTAGTTTTACATTACTTGAGAAGAACCCGCAGGACTTTTATGTCCTAAGTGACATATTGCGTTTTCAGGATCGAGTCTACATTCATGAGGGTGGAGAGGCAAGGTCCACTCCAGGTAGGCTCTACTTTTGCTATCTATTCTTAGATTCTGCACCTGCAGAAGCAAAGGAACGTATAAAGGCTGCTTCAGAGAAATCTGCGACAAAGGTTTCCAATGGTGCTGCTCAAGAACAAAAACGTCAAGTTCACGAGAAACGATCTGAGGCACCTCCAGCTGCTGACCAAGTGTCTGAACCAAGGAGGGTAGAAACACCAATCCCTCCATGCACTCAGACCCCGAAACCTCCGGCTGAGGTTCCTCCTCAAAAGGTAGTTGAGAAACAGAGCGCAGCGCCGGTGGTACAGTCTCAGCAGGTACCACCACCGCCGCCGCCACCACTGCCACAACAACAATCATTGCCAGCGGGGGAAGCACGACAGCAGCCTGTCACGCAGCAGCCAGTTTCGACTGCACCGTTAAGCTGGGCTCAGAGGGCTTCCGGGAATATAGGTTCTGTTCCAACCTCTTCTGTGGTCACTCACCGACCTCAGCCTCAAGTTGCAAAACCAGCACCAGCGGAGCATCCAGCTGCCAGCACTCTACCTGGCAGTGCACCCAAAGTTGGAATACCCAAACAGTATGTAAAATTAATGCTCTCTTCTCTGACTCTTCTTTTTTATAGGATGCGTACCGGAGGCCGTCCACATCAAGCAGACATCCGCAGAGACTCAAACGGCGATCGCAGTGATGTGAGTTTGCGACAAATTCGTTGTTGAAATTATGCGATTTCTAAGTTGTTTACCGTGGGGATCTGGAAAGGAACTTTCACTTAATTTGGGAGGAACTTTTTTGGCAAATGTTGGTTTTTATTGCAGGCTTTGTGTTTTACAGTTAGTTGTCTTTCACATGACCCAACAAATAAGCTTTCTAAACTTGCATCTGTTCCCATTTCGATGCAGTTACAAATGTTACAAGGTTTTTGGGCTTATCTGATTGACAGTTTCCAGACTGGCATCTACTTCCGCGATGAACTTTTATTCTAGTACTCACAGGGTCAACAATCCCAGCAACAGCAATTTCAGCACCAACAACAGCCACGTGGTGGATTTGTTCAGTCGGGAGGTACACGTGAAGGCATGAGGAATAGTGGAGGCGGTGCGGGTCGCGGAAATCGCGGGTCTGGAATTGCTCGTGGTGGTGGTGGGAATCGTGGTTCAATCAACCAAACTCCAAGGCGCTAATTCGTGCGTTTGTGTTTGCGCACTTAGTTTTCTTGGAATTCATATTCTCGCTCTGTCTCTCATCTCCTTGTCCATCAATTTCATCCTGTCATTGTCACTCTTTTCTACGATTCCATTTGTGAACATATGGACCTCCATTCATCCCCGTTCTGTTCCTTTTGCATTTATGAAGGAGAGACTCTGCCTCGTTGCGGCTTTTATTTTTTAGATGGCTGTTAAAGGAAAGGGATTGTTCGTAATGGATGATTTGTTTCATCCTCTCTGATCTCTGATGTAAGAGGTGTTGAGGCAGCTTTTGGTTGTTTTTTTTTTTATGAATGAAGGTAAATATAAGTGATTGGTATGGTGTCTTAATGGGCCGGAAAATTCAGGACACTAAAGTGGCTTGGACTTTCTTGATTCTTGCGGTGTTCTAGATGTCGGGTAAGCGACCGTGGGACAGGGCATTGTTTTGTTTGCCTAGACATGGTCTAGCTGCTAAAATTGGTCTGATGTTGGACTTGCTGGTCTCTAACCTTGTGCATTTGGCCTTGTGATAGCTGAGCCCAAAGATCATGGAAAATTGCGATTGAGATTGGGGGAATGCGTACTCGGGGTCCTTGACGCGGTAGGTGGCCTGGATGTCATTGCTTAGCGGCTGCTAAGATCGTTTTCGACTCAGCTGCAATTGGGTTGTACCAATTAGTAAATGGAAGAGAAAAGAGGAGGATGCCACACAATTGACTTGGTAAACCTCTTAACGGGCTCGATCTAACTGTGCCTTGTGCCTTAGAGGTGTTTATAGGTCCTTTATTCAAGTTATTCACCAAGGGCTTCCGCTGCCGATATTTTGTATAGTTTTGGGGAGGCTCCGCGCAAATTTGTGGATCTCGTGCGTCATGTGGCAAGCTTTGGTTCAAGCTCTAACCATTGAAAGGCCACTAGAGCATATTTGGATCTGCATCGCGGCAAAACCACGGGTAGGGATGCTTCCAGCAATTAGGATGTGGATCAGTGATATGCAAGTAGTGGGGCAAAGGCATTCACAGCCTTCATCAGCCTGCTTTGTAATAATGGGCTCTTATGAATTCCATTTTATTCATCTGCAATAACTAACTTTGGTGTACAATCTCAACCCGAATATTGTAGCTGCTGATGTATTTCCGAAGTTCAACCAATTTTTTGTGCTAGGTCGTCATACAATTGAATCGTTCTATGTTTAAGAGAGACTGAGAGTGCCATGGTACAGGGGAGCAACAGCCTCAACCCTGGAGGTAATTATAGAACTGGTAGATTCATAAATAACTTTATTATGGCATGAATGGTACAGGGATTGGTAGCGTAAATCACATAACACCCAGCATTAGCGTTGAAGTTGGGAGAATTTCGTGGATAAAGTATGCTGCTTTGTTGTCGGATTTACCACTGTGCTATTACTAGGTATTAAATCACTTGTAAGTTGACTCCTCAAAAACGAGTTGGTAACATTACGCGATTGTATGAGTGAAAAGAAGTTATTTCATCCTTAATGTGTACGATTGTGTTACTTATTGTCTCTTTGCTTGAAGGTGCATTGTTGATTCCCCGTTTAGTTAAAGATGCGTTGCAAGGTACGACTTAGTCCAGAACGAGAGAATACACAGGAAACCGGACCTAGGATAACGCTGAATGCCCAAGAGGAGGGATCAGCTGCAGTGCAGATCTTAGGTGGTGTGGATACCTGGTAAGATCACTTCATCAAAAAAGTATAACTGCTTGCATAAAGTTAGCAAAGGCAGAATTCAAGGTGTGCATCGCTATGCACATAAAAGTACCATTCATTCGCTTTGACAATCACATGCATTTAGCATTTAGGTGTGAGTCACAGTTTGAAGACAACAGTCGTCCAATAAGTTTGGGAACGCCACGGCAGTTATGCTTCGCTCTAAAAACACTTCCACGTATCTTAAACAGTGTAATCACACACTGTAATGCAATTGTGTTACGCTCATCGCGTTCTCAAGGCTGCAATGTAGCGGATCCACATCATTCAAGCGGATCAATGATGGTGAGGCTAACTGTGATACTATTGGAGTAGAATTTCCATGCACACACACACACACACACACGTACACATGCATACAGGTAGAAATGAAGTTAGTAAACCAATGACATTCTATATTTAGCAAATATAAATGCACGTGTACATGTACTCTTATGTTTACAAAATAGGCTTACATATACAGAGTGTGGATTTTCTAGATCACTACAAAATGTCA